TATATTCCGCCACTAGTTACCCCACCGCCCGTTTTATCCAACGTCACGTTCACTGCAGAAATGGTGCTGCAAAAGATGCTATCCTTGCGTCCACACAGCTCTCCCGGGGCCGATAACATTCACCCGAAAACATTACAGGTAGCTGCCATCCACTTGGCCGAACCACTAGCTGCATTTTTTCAGCGCTGTTTCGATGAGAACATCGTACCTTCGAGGTGGAAACAAGGTGTAATGACCCCCATATACAAAGCAGGAAGTCGATCGGATCCTGCCAATTACCGCCCCGTAACGCTTCTGCCTGTGATCGCCAAAGTCATGGAAGCGGTGATAGCAGATGCGTTAATGGGATACTTGGAAAACTACGGCATAATTGCGCCAGAACAGCATGGGTTTCGTCAACATCGTTTATGTACGACGAATCTGCTGTTATCTCGTGACAACTGGACCGAGACTGTCGATGAGGGAACAGGAGTCGATGTTGCATTCTTGGACTTTTCGAAAGCCTTCGATCGCCTGGATCATCGAATCCTGCTCATTAAACTCCAACAGTACGGTATCGGAGACCCGTTGTTAGGATGGATCGGTAACTTTCTCTCTGAACGGCAGTTAGTAGTTAGAGTTCGATCATCCTTTTCCGATCCGATTCGAGTGGGATGCGGCGTACCGCAGGGTTCGGTACTTGGGCCTCGTTTGTTCCTGCTTTTTATTAACGATCTAGTAAGAGTTATTACGTCGAAATTCCTACTCTTCGCGGACGACCTCAAGGTTTGGCGGGCGATAAAACGATCGGACGACCATGAAGTCCTACAGCGTGACTTGAATGAGGCCTGGAATTGGTCGGTGAGAAACGCCCTGCCGTTTAATGTGGACAAATGTCGCGTTGTTCATATCCGCCATCGACAAGTCCACGTCTACAAGCTTGGGGCACACGATCTGAAGACCACCACTCAGGAACGCGACTTGGGTGTGCTGGTACAGGAAGACCTCGGGTGTTCCAAACAGTCAGATTCCGCTTCTAAAAGGGGCAACCAGCACGTTGGACTCCTGCGAAGAGCATTCGGAATTTTGGATCCATCCATCTTCTCTTTGATGCTGAATGCCTACGTGCGTCCTCACGTCGAATATGCAATCCAGGCCTGGCAACCCTGGCTAAAACGTGACCTTGCAGCGCTTGAGACCCCACAGCGTCGAGCAACGAAAACCGTCAAGGGCTTGCGCCACACTCCTTACGAGGAACGACTGGAGATACTCGGAGTGTTCAGCGGACGGTACCGGCGACTTCGTGGAGACCTCATACTAGTGTACCAGATATTGAGCGATCCCAGTCACGTATGCCGCCACCTCTTGAAGCTCAGCCCGAACACTAACCTTCGCGGTAACAGTTTAAAGCTGAGCCAACAGTACAGTCGTCTAGACTGTCGGAGAACCTATTTCTCCCTCCGGGTCTGCGGGCCCTGGAACGCCCTTCCAAACTCAGTTGTTTGTGCCCCCACATTAGACACGTTTAAAAAACGATTGGACGTCGCACTGAGCGCCCTGCGCTTTGTTTTATGAACGAAAACGCTTGTATATATTTAGGCTGACTAGCCTCTTTGGATTTATATCCCAAATTCACGGTCGTAAATCTGTGCGAACCGGTGAGTACTCCATTTTTATTTGCTATCATCACCAACGATAACAATTTCTTAACCAGTTTTGCGTCGTACCACTTTATCCCCCTAAAACTGTTATACTTCTACCTTTTATCTCACTGACACTCCTTACTTCAACCACTTATGTGGTTTGCCAATTTGTCAGTATTTCTATTGCCAACCTGCGGGACTCGTTAAGTGTATGCTTTTTTACCCGTCATATACCATTGTTCCATTGTTCCATTGTCTCTTTAATTCAAATCCCATTTTGTCCCAGATGGTAAGATACGTACAACTGGCATTCTGTCTCGGACTAGACAGACCAGTGTTGAGAAAAACTGGATCGGAATAAGCTTAGGTTTTTCGGTCTGCCTCGAGAATTCTGTATCGAATGGTGTCACGCAGAAAGGCAATCGGATCAATGTGATTGAATTAAACGCTTGCGCTTAATCACGGATGCCAGTGAAAACGGTTAGTGATGGCGCAGCCACTAATCGTAGAACATATTTCCACGTATGATAGATCACTGTGTAGGGCTGGTAAATCCGGTTCGAATTAGCCTACAGTGACAACGCTGCGGGAAGATGGAGAGAGGATAGAGGGGAATAATCCAAATGAACGAGGAGCATGCACGTCACGCATGGAGTAGTAACTCGCATTCAAAATGGAGGTAACCGCGCCGAACCGGCAAACTATCACCCAATAACTCATCGCCCAGTTCTTTCAAACGTTATAGAATTCGCTATTGCAGAAACCCTCATGGAATACCTGAAAAGGAGCAGTGTCAGCGTGCCGGATCAACACGGTTTCTGTCGAAACCGCTAATGTACCACGAACCAGTTCTTAACCCGGGCCAGGTTGATGGAATCTGTCGACGCTGAAGAACGAGTTAACGCTGTGTACCCCGATTTCTCGAAAGCGTTGGATCGTGTTGATCACTACATTCTCCTCCGCCAGCTTCATAGCTGTGGAATCGGCAACCCTGTACTTGTTTGGACGGGTGCATTCTTACTTCAACCTCGCCTTTTCCGACCCGATTGAGGTGCAATGTGACGTCCTACAAGGCTCGGTTCTAGGATCAAAGCTTTTCATCATCTTCATTAACGACCTCGTGGGAGTGCTCGATTCAAATGTTTTACTCTTCGCGTACCACTACAAAATATAGCGGACTATCAGGAGGGTAACTCGACACATGACACTATAGGGTGATTTCGATAGGGCTCGCGATTGGTTAGTTCAGAATATGCTGGAGATCAACCCTGCCAAATATCCAGTACTGACCATACGTCATCAGAGAACGTACGCATACTGACCAGGTGAACGACGGTTGCAACTCGTCCCCCATGAAATTGGTCTGGGATTACTCTCACCGGTCGACTCTGTTGCTCAAAACAGGCCGGAGAAGCAGCAAGGAAAGCCAATCGGTACTTGGTTCTTTTGCGCAGAGCGTTTGGCTCATATGATCCCACCATCTTTGCACAAATACTCAACGCTTAAATGCGCTAACATGTTGACAACGTCATCCAGGTTTGGCACCGCTGGCGAAAGCATTATGTTGCTTCCCTTGAGGCTCCACAAAGAAGAGCAACCAAAATTCTCAAAGTCTGACTCTTCTCCCTTACCAACATAGTGTACAGACACTCGGAGCTTTCGGTGATCAATAACGTTGCCTGCGGGTGTTTCAGAACCTAAAGGATCCAAGCACACATATTGTAGCGAAAACGACACGACAGGGGGGTAGACGTTTATTGCACACCGAAAATGGGCACATGAGGGTCTCGCGCGCGCCCTCGAATATCGACTAGATTTCCGTCCCACCACGCAACACAGGTACGGATGTTAGAGGCGAGCCAGTCCTTTCGCCTCGGGAGCTCTGACTTGGAAGATCCGCCTTCCTGTTTTCGCCTCGATCTCCGCCTCTCTGCACCCGATTTGGATCGGCCAGGAGTCGCTCGAGAGCTCTCGACTTGCTTGTTCTGGGCTGTGTCAATCGGCTCGGCCTCGGTCCTGTGGGCTGCGCTAGCGGCGTATTTGTCTGATTTATTGCACTGTCCACATATTCCCGCTCCGTAGTTCCGGGCCCAGGCTCGTCGCTAGCCGTCTTTCGCGATCCGCTCTCAGCTAGCTCCGAAGAGCTCCCCAGAGCCATTCTTGGAAGCGGCCCCTCTACACCCGCCCCTCCTCCAGGACCTTTCTTCCTCTCGTACCATGGTCGCAGGAGAGCAGCATTCACCCAACGTTTCATTCCTCCGCAGTCGATTAGGAAGTTGCCCGCTTTCTGGTCGATAATGGTGTAGGGGCCTTTCCAGCGTTCTCTGGACTTGCTTGCGCCCGGCCCGTCATGATCCGGCCGATCGTTGTTTCGTAACTTGACTCGTTCTCCAATCCTGAATGGCCTCCACTTGTGAGCCTCATGCCTGGCGTCGTAATTTCGCTTATTCCGCGCTTGTCGGGCTTTGGTTTCGCTTCTAGCTTTCCATCGTAGTCGCTCTTGATGCTCAGCTGGATGTTTCCACTCACCCTGGTTCGGTAGGCAAGTATCGAGCGCAATCCGTGGTTCTCTGCCGAACAGTAATTCGAATGGCGAGACCTTGGTGGTTGATTGCATGCTGGTCCGATACGCGATCAGAACCTGAGGCAAAGCATCTTCCCATGCCAACTTTGTGCAGTTTATCCACGTCTTCAATGTCCGGTTGAACCGCTCGGTCATGCCGTTGGTTTGTGGGTGGTACGGTGAGGTTCGCCGTCTCTGGATGCCCCACTTGTCCAACACCGACTTAAACGCTCTTGACTCGAAGCAGGGCCCTTGGTCCGTGATGATACACTGTGGGATCCCATACCTTGCAGGCACATTGAATTCGAATACTTTCGACACTGTCTCGCCTGTTTGGTCCTTGATTGGTATGGCTTCCACCCATCGAGTGAAGTGGTCAATCATCACTAGAATGTATCTGTTTCCTGTTCGACTCACTGGTAAGGGCCCAAAGACGTCCAGTCCCCAACACTGAAGTGGCTCACCAACCTCCATCGATCGCATCGGCGGTCTCGGGGACTCCATCTCCCGACTCGTTTGGCAGTTTGGGCACTCCCGAAGGTATGTCGCGACGTCCTTCCTCATGGTTGGCCAAAACACTCGCCTCCGCAGCAATTCAAAGACCCGCTCGAATCCCATATGGGCGCCATCATGAGTTATGCGCAACACACGTTCTCGCTGATTTGGTGGAACAAAAGGCACTTTCCGTCCGTCTATCGCCACCACCACGTTATCGTTTTCGACCTTCAACCTGTCCCAGATCTTGAGGAGTTCCTCCACCTCCTCCGATGTAGCCTCCGGTTTGGTGCCAGCCCGTAAGTGAGAGCACAACACCTTCACGAATTCATCTGTCCTTTGATCTCCCAGCAGGTTCCTCTCCCCCATCGCAATCGCACGCACCGGTATGGCATTGTCTGGCATGATGTCGTCCAAACACGGGCGTGACAACATATCTGGCAATACATTTTGCGTTCCATCCACGTGCTCAATGGTGAAGTTGAATTCCTGCAATCGGTAGGCCCTCGCGCAAGTCGTCCCCGCGGGTCTTTCGCCGTCATCAACCACGAGAGCGGTTTGTGGTCAGTGACGACCCGGAATTCATTCGCCAGTAAGTAATTTCTCCACTTCTCTAAAGCCCACACGTTGGTCAAGCATTCTTTCTCCGTTGTTGAATACTTCTGTTCCGCCCCCGTCAGCACTCTGCTCGCGTACTCCACCACCCCAGCCGGTTGAGACAAAACCGCACCGATGGCCACATTGCGTGCGTCGACAGCCACAGTGAACCTCTCACCAGGATTGGGTAGCCGTAGACATGTCGGGGCTTCTGCTATGCATGCCTTTAGATGGTCAAAGGCCTCATCCGCTTCAGTTGTCCACACGAACGGCACGTCCTTGCGAAGCAGCTTTAACAACGGGCTGACCTTCTCTGCGAACTGGGGCACAAACTTTGAATCATATGCCACCACTCCCAAGAACGAACGGAGCTGACGCTTGGATTTTGGTTTTGCGAAGCACTTGATCGTCTTGCGTTTCTCCGGAAGTGGATGGACTTGACCATTGCCCAAGATGTGACCCAAGCATACAATTGACTTTTGAGCAATCTGCGACTTTTTACGACTGAGTTTCAGACCAGCTTCGTCTAGCCTCTGCAGTACTGCTCCAAGTCTGGTCACATGTTCCTGTTCCGTCTCAGAGAAGACGATGATGTCATCACCGTACACAACCACGCCTTGCAGGTTCGCGAGGACCATCAGCAACAAACGCCTGAATGTAGCCGGGGCGTTGCACAATCCAAACGGCATTCTCAAAAACTCATACTGCTGGCCATTGACATTGAAAGCCGTCTTGTGACGATCTTCTTCTGCGATCGGCAGTTGCCAATATCCCGAGCGGTGATCAATCAGAGATATCTGCTTGGCACTGTGAAGGCTTGAGAAAATTTCTTCCATCTGAGGCATCGGGAATGCATCCTTCACCGTCACCCTGTTTAGTTCTCTGAAATCGATGCAAAATCGATAGGTTCCGTCGGCCTTTTTCGTCAATAGCACGGGTGATGAATACGGGCTGTGCGTTCGCCTGATGATTCCTTTCGATTCCATCTCGGTCACCTGCTTCTGGATCTCAACCAGGGTGTTCTGTGGAATTCGTCTGAAGATTGGCTTACATTGTCCTCCTGGGATCAATGGTATTCGATGTTCAACCCAATTGCAAAATCCGTAATCATCTTCCGCGTCTGTGAATAAGTGGGCATACCTGCTCAGTACGTTGCGTATTGCACGGTTCTGACAATCAGGCACGGCTTTGAGAGCACCAATCCGGTCGGTTCTCTCCTTGTTTATCTCGATCGTATCGTTAGCCACAATTACCACATCGTTTTTCAGGTCAATTGTGACACCGAGCCGTTTCAGGATGTCGGTTCCGATGATGGTTTCGGTCGTCTCCTCCACGATGAACATGTCATGGCGGATGAGCGTTTCTCCTATCTTAATTCGTAACCGCTGCGTGCCCGTCACTTTCAAAGAATGCCCGCCGACCGTTTGCATCGTGATTGACGATGGGTTTACTGGAACCCCGTTGAACTTCTTTGTAATTGACACTGCCGCTCCTGTGTCTACTATGGCTCGGACAGACACATCTTCGATAGTTATCTGGAGAACTGGTACTCGCCACCGACTCGGCATGGATAGAGAGAAACCATGGAGCACATTGACATTGGTGCAGAATCTCGCCACATGACCACTCTGGTCGCATCGGAAACAGCGGCGACCGTTCCGGATTACCCGTACATTGCGTTGTGAAGTGGTGCTTGAAGACTCTATCGACAACAGCTGCTCCACCATTTCGGATAGGCGCTTTACTTTCTGTTCCAACTCAGCATGCTGGATGCTTCTCACTATCACTCGTTCCGACAAATTCTGGGCGACCGTCACCAGATCCACCGCTTTGCTGTCTCCCACCATCGACGCCAATTTCACCTGATCACGGAGTGGATCGGGCAGACTTCGGATAAACTGCTGTTTCAGTACGCGCTCTCTTGCGTTGCCCTCTAACTCGGGGATCCCTATCGTTAGATGTCTGTCCACCTGCTGGAAAAACACCATCAAATCCTCCTGTTCGTCCCATCTGGCTGCGTGAAATCGTTGCAGTGCTCGTTCTCTCTCCAGATCCTTCCCAAATTCTGCACACAAGGCAGCCTTCATCTCAGCGAACGATCAGCCGGGTTTGGCCGTCCGAGTGAGCAGATACACCGCCTTGGCTCGTCCACTCAACCGTGTGCCCAAAGCAATTAGCAAATTTGCATCCCCCCTCACCCCCGTGCAAGCCGCAATTCCGTCGAACTCATCGAGCCACGCCTCCACGTCACCGGCCGCAAATTGCTCTAACTGGGTCAACTCCATCACGATTGGTCACGGCACCAGTGTAGCGAAAACGACACGACAGGGGGGGTAGACGTTTATTGCACACCGAAAATGGGCACATGAGGGTCTCGCGCGCGCCCTCGAATATCGACTAGATTTCCGTCCCACCACGCAACACAGGTACGGATGTTAGAGGCGAGCCAGTCCTTTCGCCTCGGGAGCTCTGACTTGGAAGATCCGCCTTCCTGTTTTCGCCTCGATCTCCGCTTCTCTGCACCCGATTTGGATCGGCCAGGAGTCGTTCGAGAGCTCTCGACTTGCTTGTTCTGGGCTGTGTCAATCGGCTCGGCCTCGGTCCTGTGGGCTGCGCTAGCGGCGTATTTGTCTGATTTATTGCACTGTCCACATATTCCCGCTCCGTAGTTCCGGGCCCAGGCTCGTCGCTAGCCGTCTTTCGCGATCCGCTCTCAGCTAGCTCCGAAGAGCTCCCCAGAGCCATTCTTGGAAGCGGCCCCTCTACAATGTCAACACTTCTTGAAAATAGGTCACAAAACATCACTCCGAGGCCAGCACTTGTAGTTAGTCGTATAGTACAGCTGATTGGAATGTCCCCGGCGGTAGACTGAATTCAAAAGACAAGTTGGTGAAAAACGCTTGTAAAGACAGATGTAGTAAAGTAAAATTTGCGCCTTAATGGCTATGTAAATTACATTCAACTCATGGTTGCCTACACAGAGTTGTGGGGCATAACGTGCGTAGTGAACACCCCTCTAGGTAATTTCGCATGGAAACAAGATGTAAAAAATGCGGTAACGAATATAGTATTATAGTACCTCCATTCAAGACTACAGTCAGGCAGAGCTATTATAAACTTCAGCCTGCTATGCACTAACCTACTAAGCTGCACACGATGTAAAAAAAGCTTATGCGTATTCAAAATAATGACTAAAATCTTTCTGTCTTCAGCAAAATTGAAACAAAGCTTAAGTTGGCAAACGTACGACGATAGATTGATTGAGGAAGGACCGGGGCATATTTGAACCGAAAAGACCACGGTAGCCATTTGTTGAAACTGATTAGTCTATCACTGCGCTTCATTTCCAAACTCATCGGAAACCCGCTATCTTAACATGGTACACTCATCCGAACATCTTTCTTTTCATGTCGCCACTAAGCGATCGATAACGGATATTTTCCATGGCTTCGATTGTCTGAAATTAATGAACTGATCGTCTTCCAATTCCAATGGTTTCAATTATTCGTCCGTTAGAATAAAGCAACCACAATCGCAGCGAAACTGTTAACTACATTTTGGATCATATTTACTGCTCTTTATTCCTTACAAAACTGGCTGGAATGCAACATACCTTTCGACATTTTTGTACCATTATCGTTGTTCACCAAGACCTCCCATGAACTTGTGATTGGCCTATCTGCAAAAGTAGTTACTAGTATTACGCTATTTGATTCCTTATAATTTAGATTCTTTCTTACCTCGTTGTTGACCACGAGTGGGCTGATCTCTTGAGGTGACGGATTACCGCTTCCAAGATAAAAATTATTCCCATGAATGGCATACTGCCATTGTCTCACTGGCATACAACAAAAAGTGCCATGCTTGAATGATCCGCATGTCGGAACGGGCTGAGATTTCACCAACCATAATGCATGCGTAAAACAGCGCTTATAAAAAGAAACATTTGTTTAACAGGTGATGGTTTACATGTTATTTTGCCACACCGGCACACAGCCGGTTAGAGCATGGAAGTGAAGGTGAAGCCCATCATGGGAGTACCCCTCATGGAAGCATGCCTCCTAAGGACGGTTCCATGGATGGCCGTATTACTATGCTTGAAGTTTTGGCTAAACCTGCATCTCTCATTTTTCTCAGCATCTTAATCTCTCTGATACCTAAAAACTGCAAATTATTTCCAAAACCCATTTGGCTTCCGTCGTAGAAAAATTTCCACATTCAAATATTTTATGCGATCTCGTTTTACAGATTGATCAGCCACTCGGTTGGGTTGTGCATTGCACTGTCGATGAATAAACTGTTTCTTTCTTTCTTTATTTATAAACGTAATATAATTATTAGCAAGTTATCCCTATTGGTAGCCTTAACACTACAAAAGGTCAGTCGCCTAACAGTACTGTGAATGAAGCAAGAATGGGGAACGATAATCCGATCCAGGAAACTATTATCCGCACTAACAAATAAAGAATCCGGAGAGATTTGAGACAAGTATATCTGCCGGAAGACTTTTCATAAAGAACTATTGCAAGAGCAAGAAGTCGTTGTCTGACTGTAGGCAGTACATGAGACGTAGTTGATTACGACGTGGAATGGAGTCTTCCCGTACAGTCTCATCAAAACAAACACGATTCTGCGCCTACGTCAAAAATTCAAATAACATGTAGCAGTCCATCCAAGCATCATTTGATTCCGCTTGTTCTGTCCTCATCACTGATCTTAACAAAGCTTTCCTACTTGGAGAACAGCAGACAGGCGTATTGGTTCTGGAGTCTCACTTACTGCATGTTAGCTTGGAAGCAAATGTTCCTGTAGGCTATTAGCTGCATGAGGTTTCCATATCGGACGCTCAGATGCTGAAGCTCTTGTGAGAGTTACATCCTTCTAAGACTGCAGTACTGGGTGCTATTTATCCCAAACTCTTGTATGAATGGGCAGCTGAGATTTACCGTCCATTTAAGCAACGGTTTGATAAGTCTTGGCGTAGCTGTTCTCTACCCAACAACTAGAGAAAGGCTGTTGTATGCGCTGCTATTTAAAAATGGTGATCAATAATCCTTGTGAACCATGGACCTATTAGTTTGACAAACATGTTGGTAAGGTTTCTGGAACAAGTGGTTATTGATGCCCTGAAGAGCCATTCAGGGGGGACTTGAGTTGCTCGGCTTCTCCCAACACAATTACTCAAGGACTATTCCTGCCTTATCAAATTGCTGGCTGCTCTCGAACATTGGATCGAAGCAGTTGATCAGTGAAAAGCACTCTATATATTGCTCACTGACTTTTCCAAAACTCTAGACAACGTTCGTCATTGTCACCCTTTGTATAAGATGTAGACCTATGCTATCTCTTCACCAATTCCGCAATGCATTTCGGCTTTGTAAACTGCTGGTGATATGTGTGTTCGTGTGACTGCTAGCCTTTCTTTCAAATGCGTTTACAGCGGTGTTCTGCAAGTAGAAGTCAAGTGAGAAGGAAACATGGAGGCTGTCCACCCCGGGACTGTGTTTTTAGAACGGAGGATTGTTCGATCCCAAGCGTAAATTCAGAAAAAGTACTTCCATGACCGACCTGGCAAATATTAAAGGCGATAATCCTACTGAGACCGGAGATGAAATTGATACTGTAAATCTTCATACCCGGGCAACGTAAAACGAACTTGACAGCATTTATGCTGCGCAATATGTGTGCAGTGCTGATAGAGAAGCTGCGCCTGAATTTAAGACATTGCAAGACAAATACTGCCAGACGCGATAACGCGCACACCAAACGAATGTGCGGATGTCGGTCTATGGTCTGTTAAGTTGGATCATGACATACGTACTAAGCTTCTATGACCAAAATCTATTGGTGTGCAGCGCGTCGATCATGAATCTGGAGCGTATGTAAAATAAGCAGTTAGAAAGCGGACAACGAATTGGCTTTTCCAGGATTTGCAAAGCAGCGAGCAAAGAACATTAACAAGGATAAGTTATTACTCTTTTCAAAGAAGCCCTGTTTCTCTTCTGCTTCAGACGGTATTTTACGGAACAGCCTAGTATTTCGACTGATATGGATTTCAGCAACTGGACAAAATTAAATCTAGAATTATATGAACATCAACACAATAAATCGCATGCTCAAACATTCCTCAACTGGAAGACGTCAGAGATCTAGCCGGTTGAAAGAACGCCAATTGAACAAGTCATACATTTATGGCAAAGGAAAAAGATGTAATATAAAATTTTAGCCATATCACTGGGTATCATCAGGTCAGAGCGAAATACTGGATCGTAAAAGATGTACAAGGCCAAAGCAGATTATTTGAAAGCCCAGCTATTATAATACAAATATCAAAAAAGCGCAATAACTTTATCATCAGACTAAATCTGCAGGCGATTTCGACTGATATGATCCTCACCTATCGTATGCCATTAGGTCAGATCTCATCTGATGTATCCGGATTATTTCATCCCACTCGGGCTTCAACTCTACGTGGTCACCCACCAAAAGTGTACAGACTCAAGGCGGCTCGGGTCGCAACTGATTCTTGTTTATCACGCAGAGTTATTAAAGCTTGGAACATGGTGTCGCGGTGAAAAAGTTCAAAAATTGGTACGACACTCTTGATCTACAGTTTAAACACTTCCCCTACATGTCTTATCTTTGATCTTATCAATTAGAATGTTATTCCTGTGTATACCGTTAATGTGCACTTCAAGATTGCCACATCCTTCGTTGCGACTTGCCCACAATTTGTAATCTTTCTTCTTCACTTCACACGGCCGGCACAGTGAAGAATGCTGGTGCAGGGCACGTGGGCTTGATTTGGTTGACCGTGGAGTAAATCGGGCTAGTTGCTTCGGATCCTTCTTGCACATCGCTCCAAATGTTCACTCTTGGATCAACGACAATTTTAGGTGGGACATTCACGGTATGCTCCTATCGTTCCGGCCCCATTTGAATGTGAACTTGGGTGTAAATTCAAATTCACGAGAAGCAACTTTTATACTGTTCAGTTTTGGCATTCTGACTGCTCAAACAATAGTGTCGAGTTTATCTTGAGTACCATGTAAATAGTACTCGAAGACCTGTGCCTTTTCCGTCTCCGCAGTCCGTCACACTACAGTTTAATACTACCATTTATCCCGTTCCTCGCCCAATGTGTTGTCGCCCAGATCGTGAGTTTGTTCGGCGAATTGGCTTGTCCTCTGTCTCTACCGCCGTAACATACAACATGAATACCTCTGCGCTTTACTGACATCTGCTTTGATCGCAGTCGACACTTATATGGAAACATATGCGGCCATGAGACAAGTGACCATCGCTCATCCAAGTTAACATGCTTAGGTATTAAAACATAGAGGCTTGATGAAGAGGAGCTGTGCATTGATGTATAGACAGGAAATGTTTCGTAAGCCAGTGGCCGGTACGAGACTACAGGTTCAATGTGTAAGCAGGGCCAATTATCGTGATGTAGGTCACTAATTGGCTTTTGGTGACCTGCTGCAGCTGAACCTTGGGCCGGTTGAGGTTGACAGATGGATTGCTCTTATGATAACCTTCCGGTTCTAGTGAGTACTGAACAAGTCATTGCTTTTTTGATACTTAGTTGTGCTAAGCAGTAGTCTACTTCGAAAGCTCTTCCACTAAATGTGACCTAAGAGTGCTGATACAGGACAATCTCGGTTGTTCACGTTTTGCCGAAAAGGCATACAAAAATGTCAACCAATATCTTGGCCTACTGTGAGCAGCATCCCAGTAGTTTGACCTTTCCATCTTCTCGTAGAAGCTCAACACTTAACATAATCCCTTTCATTGTACGCCATCTATGCCTGAGGCCCCTGGTAGCAGTATGCCTTTGCCGCACTCAAATTTCCATGACGGATAGTCACAAAGAATTTAAAGAAGTAGCACTATCCCGCTTACCAACTGAGGCTAATGAATTGGGCGCGTGCGGTGGATAGTATCACTGTCTGTGTCCACAGATTATAACGTATTATCAGATTTTGAAAATCCTACCTACCTTTTCATCACCTCCGGAAGGTGAAGCTGGGAAACCATCAGCAGACCTCGGCCACAGAGTAGAACCGGTTGGGATGGCGATGCAATTTATTCTGTCTTTGCGTGCATCACTGGTAGAACTCTCCCCTCCTCTTAGGTTAATTTATTCTATACGCTAAGGATTTTCAAAAAGTCGTCACGATGCGCTAATGCCTTTTTATTGTGTGCCATAGCCTTTTCCGACTGAGCGTCATCACTACACAACAATCGCTGTGCGCAGCCTAACTTCTTGGTGAGTTCAACGAAACTGATTTTAGCTCGTTGACACTACATGGTTTCATAAAATACTCACGCTTACATTCTTGTGCTCGTCAAGCTCTGATCTCTTTCACTCGTCAGAATCCATTGATTCCATTGTTTGAAAGTAATTGTCAACCACGAGCGGTCAAGCATACCTAAGGGCTTAGCGGCTCTGGCTTCATTCGGATAAAGATTGGTTGTAAATACTGTCGACCAACAATGGTACCTGTGAGGTTTAAGATGTTCACAATGGAGCCTAGTGAGCGTGGCACCACTGTGTGGAGTTTGCTAATTAAGAACTTCAATGGGATTATGCAGACATTTCTCATTTATCCGAGGAATTTCAGATTAGAAGTAGAAAAAATCTTGTTAGTGAGAACACCCACGTTGAATTAAACCAGCAGCGAAAAATAATCTGTTCACTCTAGAATTCCTGTACAAATTAGGAGGCGAGTTGACGGATCCGGGTTAGGCTGGTTTTTTCTCCCATACCAAAATCTCGTAATATTCGCTTGTTTCTATGGCATCGTCGACAACGAAATAAGCCTCATGGTAAAATTCCGCCAGCTGAAAAACAGATATCATTCTATCATTAGTCATGTATGCGCAGAATTTCGGTTTGCTGTATATTTGCAAAAATTGTTCTAAATAACTATCGATGTCTAACTGCTTTTGAGTTTTTCATGCATGCTATTGCTACTGTCTAGATTTTTCATCTGCTTCCACTCACACAAGTGCAGTAAATATTGCAAATGGAATTCAATGCAAAGCATTCTATTTTCTACACATAACAACACCATCGGATCTAACGGGGAAGGTAGTCTCCGCGGATACTAGGTGCAACGGGCAGCTGGACTCCGGCATAGTTGAATCCATTCATGCACTGTTCGACATTTTCCAACTTAAGCAGCAGAACTACGTTCAGATGCCGGTATTGAAGTTGTAATGAATATATAAGAGGTAGTACAGTCTAGAGATGTCTATTGTATGATCCCGACGTCCAAGCGCAAAAGAGCACATCAAACGTTACTGAACCACTTCACATCCGTTAAAGAAGAAACGCCAAAACACCAACTACTCTAAATCGTGAAGCAGCTTCCCGTTAGACGGGCCATTTTGAAATACTTGTGTGAATGAATTGAGACATTCAGTCTGCAGGTGATCCGAGGTTAGCACTGAATTGAATTTACTCTAATCGTTTAATCGACTGGCATCCCATTGATTATGACGTTCGAGTGCTAGTTGTTTCGTGTTGATGAAGTCAAACAAATTCGAAACTGGTCTCAGAGTGCAGTGTCCTCAAACCGGCAAATTCTAATTTCCATCAGCTTCAGCTACGGTCCTAATAATCGATTTGACCATGGTTTACTTCAATGCGAATCACGATCCACCTTGAGGTTGGACGTCGCAATCCAACCACACAATGGGTAAGTTCAAATGACACTCCGAGCCTAGCTTTGTCCCTCATGATTTACTGACTAAAGGAGAAGAGGTCAAAAATAACATCCCAGTGGTCCCGAATTCGTTGCCTGCTATCTCTACATGATAAGATCCATTAGGGTCCAAACGCCTAGTAGAGTGCAGCGTTACGTGCGGCCAACATCCAGATACCATACGCTTCAACCATTGTCCTAGGTACAAAAGTGGCCATGGCTCGCTTTAATGGGAATTACAGTCCACACTGAGACTGCGTATCGCAATCTATGCACACAACGAGTATTGCTAAATGACGCTCCAATCGGTCACCAACCGCTAACAGAAAGCGCCGCATGCCATGACTCGGTAGCTCAGGGTAGAGGCTTCAGATGACATTCCATGATTCCGAGTTTGATGATTGCAATCACTACGTGATGAGACCAAATAGCCTCGAAACGCGTCATGATGTGTAGCGTTTTCAAACCTTCCATTCACAATATTCATCTCCTACCAGTTATGTTGCTCTCTGTGAATAACTTACTGCCCGCTGATTGGATGGCGATTTCTGCGAGGAGAGTTAGCAGCGGAATTTGCCCTCGGATGCATGGATACATTGATAATTGTCCCATACGGTGTTACTGAGGTATGGAATTGAACAGGAATGCAATCTTCACACCAGCAAAACTGGTGGATTGGTTTTACAACAAAGGTGCGACCGTCATAATGTATCAGACGTGACAAATTCCACACTGGATAAAGAGTGAAAACAGACATTCGGAAGGTTATCATTGTGCTATCGATCGGTTAATTTTCACCGCATTAAAGTAGTTGTGATACATTTGCAAAGCTCTTCCCCATCATGCTTGATAAGCACAGTAAGCAGAAAGAGGCCAGTCGTATTCTTTGTAAACCGCACATTTACTCTCGATCTATACATTACGCTGACAGACTTAATGAAAATAGATTTAAGCAAATGCGTGAAGAATATTCTTTTCGATAATTATCATCTGGCGTTTACAAGTATGAAGCAAAGAGGCTTGTACTGAAAGCAACCAACTCATTAATTGGGCAGTGTGAAAACAAAATTAATGGTTTGGTCAATCAGACGGTCGCATTAGGAAGCACGTGTTCAATGCAGGTCATATGTCAAGTTCAAGGCGAAGGTAATTTCATAGTCTTTATCTGTGTGCGCTGTTTGCATAGCTCTGGTTATAGAACCTTGATTGCAATGGCTTCGGAAGTGCTCAACAGATATTTCTTAAGCTGTTTTGGGGTAGCGTTTAGGGATAGTATAGAAGATTTGAAACGAATGGTTCATCTGCACTTGATGTCCAGTGTCGACTAAGTGTTGTAAAAGGGAATTGTTGTTGGATTTTCCCTTAGCTTTTCGTAGTGACGCAGGACAATGTTCAGCGATTCTTTTGGACAAAAACCTGGTTGCATGTCCAAGATACCTAGCACCACAGGTGCAGGTGAACTGGTGTAAGACAAACGATTCGCACCTAACCGGGATTTTATCATATAAGCGCTGAAGATTCAATGGCCTTGTTTCGACAAGTAGGTTTAAGTTGGCGGCTGGAAAAGTCTTGGTCACTGCGGTCGAGATTTTTCTACCCAACAGTTTGAACGCGATGTCACCTTCAATGGGAACTGTAAGGAATGGGTTCATTTTGGGCACTGCAGCGACACATTTGATAGCCTTAAGCTGTTTGGAGTGTTTTAGCTTGAAGGTTCGCGTATCCATTTTCTCGAAGCGTATAAAATATGAGCCTGGTTGCGATTTCCAGCGTCTCTGGACTGCAGATTGCTCTAGCACGAAGTATAAGCAACGGACTACATTCCTATTGTATCTCAGCGGTACAGAAATTATAGATTTGGCTGTCATTCACAGGCGAATGGATGCTTCACAATTATTAAACAGATCATATTACTTTGAAGCGCGCAACTTCAATGTGGACCGCGACTCTCATTGAGGTGAAACTTGCTCAGCTCGATCATTGCGACCGTAACTGATGAATTCGATACATATAGTGTGTTACCTGCACAGGAGCGATTTCGAACTTGCTTGAACTCATCAGGAGGCACTCGATACCTGGGCCTTTAGGAGGTTATCGGAAGCCTTCAAACAAAAACCACCGAATGATGAGGAACAGAACTTGTCATAACGGTTAAGGACTGATTGAACATCTTCCACAAGTTTGTATACCTACATTAACAGATAGCGCATTGGCAGTAGAAAATAGAGAGGGTGGGCTAATTGATGGGCCTTGTGTAGAGGAACAAATGCTTCAAAAAATCGCACGTATAAGGTTGTGCTCAGTACCACTGTAACAGAGGTTTGCTCTTTGAAGTCGTGCAGCTCTAGTAAGTATAGCAACAATTCGAGTAACTTTTTATTATCCATCGCATTGTAGCTAACGACTTACCATTCCGATGACCATTTTCCCATTGATTTTCGCACGAGCTATTAAAGCGTAGCATCCAGGCTGGTGGCTTCCAGCACAACGCGAGTACTTCGGTGTAATAACCCCTCATCATCACTACCAGTAATAGCTGTAGACGATTAAAATGATAGACGAGAATCTCATGTGAATGTGATCACAACAGTCAGTAGACGAATGTGAGTACTCTATGTGAACGAAAGGTGGCGCACTGTAGTGGCCAAGAGCGTTCTGTAGTGTGTGGCTTACCTTATCGACCACCCAAAGTCTAAATGTTTTCTATAAAAGCGGCTCACTGTCCATTAACACTGGCGGACATACTACAGCATTCTAGCCGCGAACAATGTATGCACACCTTTCTAGTATCAGACATATCTCTCGCACCGTGGTCACAAGCTGCGATCGCAGAGGTACTCCTCATGTAGAACAGCAAGTACCCTTGAAAGCTTAGCTTCTTGATTCAGTACGTAGAACCTCACGCAGAGTGCGGCCGCATAAATTCAGCGCTCTGTCCTCGAGTGGATTTACTGCTTGTCATTCCGGTGCAACTGGCTGCGGTTGCACTTATTCGACTCGGATTGACTTGCCATGTCCAACAGGTCTAGTATCCCCCCTTCATTCTCCCCACTGCACTATTTACCTTGACAGTGCTTTCCATCAGAATTTACTCCGAAACTTACGCACAAAGCACCTCATTATGAGCGCGCACATAACAGGTTACCCTTATACAAGAGCACACTATACAGAATTTCCAGTCAGCTGTAATTTGCAACATGCGGACCTCGTGTATTAAAGCTGCAGTGGCTTTCCGCAGTCACTACTCTCACTTCCATCGAGCCATTATGAATGCGACGTCTGCGTCCACCACCGCGCTGCTCCCTCACCAGCGATTCGCGATCATAGGATCGATACGCATCTCTCATCCCCATTTTTCCACCGAGGTTACACGCCTAACCTAGAAGGGTGGAGGACGAAACAGGACAAACAATCAGCACGCAGCTACTAGGATATCTACAGCGCGAAACTCGAACGCTCCATACAGTGTAAAGTGAAACTTGGTTAGTCACAATTCTGTTTTTTGAGAGCCACTTCGTAAGCAATTTATCAGTATCGACACTGGCAGCACTGGTCTACAATGGCTCTGGTTAAACCTGATCACATCCAGTAACCGAAAAATTTTATATTCTCTTATTCATAAACAGTGCAATTAAAACACAAAGCACTTAAGCGATCGCGAAACAGTGCTCCCTCAAGTATCAGTTACAGTGTCCGACTAAATAAATAAATAAATAAATATAAATAAACGTTTTATTCCTCAACAGTACGAGGCACAGACCAATTGGGTGGTCTTATCAACAATGATCAGTTTAACTCTGACTAACTGCAAATACATGAAATGAAGCAAACTTTGGCCTTCATTCGGCCTTTGAAAGATCGTATGTTTTCCTTAGTATACATAAGCAACAGGTTAGGAACGCTGGAGCCCACGCATCTAAAGAAGTGAGAGAGCTTGTTGCATCGACCGCGTCTGACATACACGAACGAAAACGTAGACTGCAAAACGTGTTCAGAAGTTCTGATAACATTAATTTAAATAAAGTGAGAACATCATTACTGAGTAGCTGTAGCATGTCAAATATTGGATGCAAACATCTCATCATATTGACTAATTCGTAATACTGTTCCGCGATTCCTTTTGTTATAGTTGTC